ACAAATATCCCATGGGACTACAATTATCCCATGGGACCCAAAAAAATCCCATGGGATTTAACCAAAATCCCATGGGATAATGGTCAATCCCATGGGATTTGCCTTATCCCATGGGATATTGAAAATCCCATGTTTTTCTAAATCAAATTACAAAATATATATAATAATAACAGCAGAAAAGCAATGAAATTATTGAATCCCATGTAATTCCGCACATTTTGGTTATTTACACGACACTGTAGGTCTAAGGAGAGGCGGCGGCGGATTTGCAAATGAGTGTTTTGCAAATTAAAAGTGTCCAGTGTTCAAATTCCACAAATTGTGTCGATCAAAAATTTTGCAAAACCAATTGACACACTTACAAAATGTATAACAGAACAATAATTTACATAACACGCATTTTGAATCAACTATTTCTAAAGGTTAATAAGTGCAAAGAGTTTCACATTCCAGTTATAGCTTTCTTACATGTTGAAAAATTCGGAAGGGTTTTTTTTTTTTTTTGGACTTTGGTAATCTTCTGGTTTTTATGCCAATTCAAACAAATCTAATTATTTTCAAAATAAATGTGGCAAAATTTACGTCCTTCATAATAGGCAATATAAAAATGAAAGTCGTCATAATCTATAAAGACTATACTATAGTAACCAGACTCAAGCTAGCGAACAATAAGCCAGCGAACAATAAGAAGCATTAAGCTAGCGAACATTAAGCCAGCGAACAATAAGAAAACGCGCCAACATGATCATGCCTAAAAACCGAAGACTTGCAATAATATGAAACGTCCTTTTAAATCTGATGACAATAATTTCCAGTAGGAAGATAAAATGCAATTCCATTTTAACACAGACAAAGTGAATTAGTTATTCGTGTATTTAATACAATTTTTGTTTAAGCCGGGCATCTTATATTCCTTTTAGCTAATCCTTTCTCTTTTTAGTGTTCTCTGATAAAAGATGAGTTTGTTGTCTTTATAATAATGAAATAATTAATACAATAGTTCATACTAAACGATACAATTAAATCTTCTGCCTTATATATGCGTTTGAAATGAAAAGAAAAAATCCGACTGATTATGGAACGTCAAGAATTTTTATTAGTTTTCTGTAGAAATAAAAGCTGATAAACATTATACGCAATTTTTTTCTTTTGTCAAAAAACTAGTACATTTTTCTCTTTATTCAAAAGTATGTTGTTACACTGGTAATTCATTTATTATATTTCGATATGAAGAGTGATGAGTGTAAGAGTGACACACACATAGAACAAAAAACGAATTGACAAACTATTTTAAGTAATATACACGACAAATCTTTTTGAATCCAAGACGATGTGAAATCTGGACCCAACCCCCTCCAAACTATAATCTGTGAAAACTTTTATCCACACTAGGTACATTTGATAGGCAATTGCCTAAGCTTGCCTGGACCCAAAGACCCAGGTGGGTAAAGTTACGTAATTTTTTTAATTGAGGTCCAAACGTTGGGATATGGTGACCCAACCCCCTTCCTTCTTTAATTCATAAAAAAGTCCCTACGGCAAAGCTTTTGTCCACACTAGGTACATTTGATAGGCAATTACCTAAGCTTGCCTGAACCCAAAGACCCAGGTGGGTAAAGTTACGGAATTTTTTTAATTGAGGTCCAAAGTTGGGATATGGTGACCAAACCCCCTTCCTTCTTTAATTCATTAAAAAGTTGCGCACCCTACATTGATACATAATATAGTTCGCTAGCCTTTAACAAAAAGAAGAAAGAAATCTGCTTTTTCAAAAAGAAATTTATTCACACAAACACATTTGTCTTGAAGGGTAATCATTTGAATAGTGTTTACATTGTCTAGTACGTTATTTTACAAAAAATATTATTTTAGGAACTATTTGATGCCGAAAGTACGGAAAGCCATTTCCACACAACACATAATTCCTACTTGAAAAATTACTGTTGATAAAATAACAGGGAATGCTGTTTACACTCAAGATTTAACAAAACATAGAAATTTATCTGCACAAACCAACAAAATATAAATAGTCAACTGACGACAATATCAAATAAGTAGATCTTTATAATGAGGAAAATCTTTTGTAAAAGTAAACGGATGATGACGGCGGACGACTACGTACTGCAAACGACAGACGTTACATATTCTAAAAAGCCGACACTGACCCTTTAGGCCAGGTTAGATATAATAGTTAATGCGTGTTTAATATTACACAATATTTCAAGTTAAAACTAGAACTGCCTATTTAGCTGGACTTATAACCGAGCGTCTTGGTTTGACTAAGTATTATAGTTACTGAAAAACATGTTGCATGAAGCTGATAATAATAATTTGGTCTTTTTTCTAGTATGGTACTGTAGATTCATGTAATATATTTTTTTTATATCGTGGAATATATGAACACAGTAGGGGTATAGATGCACGGTTTAAAGGATTAATTTTGCAAGTCAGTTGAAGAAATTCGGTGGATTTACCGTCCTCTGCTATCTGGTCCGGGCAACTTCAAGGCCTTACCTATCATGATCTTCGTCGTAGGAAATTTTCTATCAATTAAAGTTTGGACGGAATGATCTCCTTACCCCGACTTTGAACCTCAGTTCCAGTAGTTCCGTGAATTAAACTCACCTTGGTCATCTTATCCAGGCAATTTTATACCATTCAATTTCATCTGTACCTTGTGTGGTCATTCTTTGTCGCGTAGAGAATTTTTTTTACGAATTAACGTTTTGAGGGGACAAGGTCTCTATATCCCAACTTTGGACCTCAGTTGCAAACGTTCCGAAAATTTATCAAACCGGACCATCTGTTCCAGGCGTGCAAAACCTAAATATGAAAACAGTTGTAGAAGTTCTGGAACTTCGCCCACCTGCAGGTTCTCTAGGTCCAGCCATCCGTCGGCAATTGCCTATCAATTGTTACCAGAGTGGACAAAAGCTTTGCTGTGATTGTGTTTTTACGAATTAAAGTTAGGAGATATGATCTACAAACTTTGGACCTAAGTTGTAAAGGTACCGTAACTTTACCCATCTTGGTCTTTGGGTGTGGGCAACTTAGTCCATGATCAATCAGTTGTACTTAAGGTGGGCGAAAAACTGTGCCCGATGGAAATTTTTACACGCTTTTACGCTTTGCCGTAGGGAATTCTGTATAAATTAAAGAAGGGAGGTGGTATTTGTCACCTTACCCCAACTTTGGACCTCAATTAAAAATGTTCCGAAACCTTACCCACCTAGGTCTTTAGGTCAAGTCAAGCTTAGGTAATTGCCAATCGTTTGTACCTAGTGTGGACAAAAGCTTTGCCGTACGGAATTTTTTATGAATTAAAGAAGGGAGGTGGTAGGGTCGGGTCACCATACCCCAACTTTGGACCTCAATTTAAAAAAAAATCCGTATCTTTACCCACCGGGGTCTTTGGGTCTAGGCAACCTTGGGCAATTGCCTATCATTTGTACCTAGTGGGGACAAAAGCTTTGCCGTAGGGAAGTTTTTACGGATTATAGTTATTTTACATAGGCTTGGATTCAAATAAATTGTCGTTTAGATTAACCAAAATCTTTATGCCAATTCGCTTTTCGTTCTTTTTTGTGTGTTACTCTTACACTTATCACTCTTCTTATTGAAATATAATAAATAAATGACCAGAGTGACTATTTACTTTTGAATAATTAGAAAAAAAATGAACTAGCAAGTTCTTTGACGATGGTTATCAGCTTTTATTTCTACAGAAAATCTAACAATTTTGTTTTCTTTTCTTTCCAATCGTATATATAAGCTTGAAGATTTAATTGTATCGCTACACTAGTTGAGTGTGAACTGTTGTTATTAATTGTTTCATTAATTTAAAGACAACAAACCCATCTCTAATCAGAGAGAAAAGAGAAAGGATTACCTAAAAAGAATTTGTCTGTGTTAAAATGGAATTGCATTTCATCTTCCTACTGGAGATTATTGTCATCAGATTCGTGTTATTGCAAGTCTTCGGTTTTTAGGCATGACCATGTTGGCGCGTTTTCTTATTGTTCGCCAGCTTGATGCATCTTATTGTTCGCTGGCTTATTGTTCGCTAGCTTGAGTCTGGTACTATAGTATTAGGAGAAATCAAATTTATGTGTGAAAAATGCTTTGTTAGAAGCATATTTAGTAATGCACGTATAGAATAGGTCGCTGACCGTTTTTATAATAACCAAAATATTATGAGTGCATTTCTTTCTAACACAAACGATACAAACGATTCGGCGAGCATACGTTTAGATCATGTGTTTCTTACATACGTTTGCAAAGTGTGCATAAACTTTGACAAACTACACACTCGCTGACAATACGTCTACAGTTTGTCGTTCGCTGTTTGTTAGTATAAACGCTGTATTTCTTTCTAAGGGAGCTACCATTTGGTTTTTATGAGGGGGGGCTAGGATGAAAAATTTTGTCCTGCATATTTTTTAGTGGTATCTCCGTCCTGCCTTTTTATTTTTCACTATATTCGGTCCTGCCTTTTTTTTTTATTAGTTTATCCTGACTTTTTTTACAAAAATTGTCATCCTGCCTTTTTTTTTTACTGAAAACTCATGTCCTGCCTTTTTTTCAAATTTCATCCATTAAAATATTTATCATCACTATCTTCATACATTCATCTAGAATTACATATGCACAGAAGATCGATGTCATCTGTGTATAAAACATCTTCTACAGAAGCTATTATCCCGCGTAGTAAGTTTGATTACCAACTTTTTGACAGTTCAAACAAACTAAACAGGGTCAGTAAACACTGATTAAAAGATGCATTTTTTCTTCTTCTTTTGTAACGTTTAAAATAATCTATAACAAACGACACACAACGTTTACAAAACTTTGGTTAGAAAGAAATGCACTCATAGAGTATCATTGAAAATATATATAGCATTAAACCTTTTATAGTAAGAAATTTAAATTGAAATTTTGAGTATTTAATTTAAATGCTTTTATCATGTGCAGTTACCCATGACGGTCATAATATCATTACACGGTTATGTTGATGCATGAAGTTTTCACTGTTAAACATTGTGTTATTGTGTACTACATCAATAAATCAATAATAGCAAAGATGATATACACACTGAAATAAAATGTGAGTATCATTATTTACTTCTTCATTTTGTAGGAATTAAAGTGAATGGATTTAATGAAAAACATAAAATCTCAGGCACATTGAAAGTTAAGGTCTAATGACAATTTTCTGTAAAATCCATAACATCAGACTCTTTGTCATTGTTCTAGAAATTGTTATTGTAATTTTGAATCACGAGCACAGGAATGAAACGAGTCAATCTCACATATAAATATGCCCGTGTGCCTCCATAATTAGTATATAAGAAGAACATACAAATTTTTCTGACTTGTACTCCACAACCATAATCTCGGGTAACTCTAAAAGTACTTTAAACGGTACCAATTTTACAGAACTTCGTAGAAGCGCATTTCGACAATTAATATCTCTTAATTGATGTTCGAGGCCAAACATTTGAAAACCCAAACCAACAGTATTACCAAACCTGGTCAAAGAATCGAGACTAGATATTCAACCAACTTTCTAATTCTTACAACGGCAAAGTTCAAAGTTCGATAAACAATATCCACATTTCGATGACAGCTCTGAATACGTTCTTTTTCTAAATTCAACTCCCTCAAAATTAGATAACTATTTATACCGATAATATTCTTCGCCGTACACGTTTAGACTTAATTCGTATTCTTATGTAAAACGTGGCAATTTTTGCAATTTTGTTTTGAAATTAGTTCATAAAGTGGCAATGCACAATTATTCCCATTCTCATTATCATTATTATACATTTATAATCACAGCGACTGCAGAGTTTTCGCTGGCGGTCGTCATTTGCATATTTTGCAAAAAAACTTTGGCAAAAGAAGTGAAAAAATGTTCGAGGTCGTCCATCTTGTTTATTTTTTTTCGCTATCAGTAAACACTCATCTTTTTACCTTGAACTCTTCATGCGATACTGTTATGACAGAAAATTTATCAGCTGATTGTACAACGATTTGATAGGTATCAGCTATAAACGCATAAACGGTGATAATTTATTTAAATGGTAATTTAAAATGTTTTAGTCGAATGGCTTCATATGTCACAGGAGTGAGTTTTACAACTTTTAAATACAATATTGTTAAGCAGTGGATGGTTTACAATCGCTTAAGCGCTCATTCTTACATTTCAAGTTAATGTTTTAACGATGGTCAAAAAGCTTTAATTTTCTTTTAAAGAAACGCAAAGAAAAATTGTATCTAAAGCCCTTCGACAAAACGGGATCCAATGTCCGATAAACTTTAAGAAGATGAAATCTAACCAGCTGACCAGGTGACATTGTAGATGTACTAATATAAATAATTGTGAAATTGATGAAATTTTAGACCAAATAGTGCCAAATACATAGTTTGATCCTACCTTTATTTTAAATAACTGGCTGATAAATCTTCAACATGTCTAAATAAGCGTATGCACTTAACTTGTAAGTTAAACCAAATGCATGGTCTTAATAGACATTTGCGGAAACTGTCATACACCTACGATTAGGATTACAATTACACTTACAGGTAGCATTTAAATCTTGGGTCGTTTCAAAGTGTAAATATAAACCGTCGGTTCAAAACAAAGACTAACTCCTATGATGTTTTTCTATGGTTGAACAACGGGATTTCAAAGAAATATTGATAAAAAATGGCATCTTGGCAGCTTCAGGTGGAATCTGGACAACTCTGACCCAAAGGCAAATCGGACTATGACAACTTGGGCCAATTTAAAGACAACTCGGACCACTTTTATAGACAGCTCGAACCAGTTTGAAAGACAAGACGGACCAGTTTGAAACACTTGTCAGACCAGAGGCTCTTCGTGGTTTTTACATTTAATATGATTTTTGTTTATTTTGTCTAGATTTTGTTCTTCTCAGTCCCTCCCCCCCTACCCCCCCCCCCCCCCTAAACCCCCCCCCCCCCCCCCTCCCCAACTGACCATCTTAGGTTGCTGTGATAACTTGTCAGTTTGATGCATTTCAATAAGTTCTGTTACTATAAATTGTTTTATGACGGCCTAACGAGATCAATTAGGAAAAATAAACCAACAAATATCTTTCAATGCAATGAAAATATAAAGCAGATATATATATTCGTCTTTACATATACGGGCCCGTGTTGTAATAAGTGATCCTAGAAATATTTCAAGATGGTTGAAACGCCTTTTACCGTCAGGCACCAAATGTTAATTTTCGACTATCATTAGCGACAACTTGATTCAATTTATATTGTGGTTTGTCAAATTATCCTTACCATTTATCAGAAGTCTCAATTATTTAAACTTTACCTTTCTAATTGGAAAACATATACTATGATTCGTCAAAATCAGTTGGTTTTTTTTATGATGGAGAAATGAACTCTACATGTATATTTCTTTGTGGAGTTTTTGTGAACTTTTGTTCGTATTTTCGTCGTTTTTCTTTTGACCATGGTGGAGTCTTTTTTCTTCGACTTATGGGTTCTAAATGCCCCTTTGCATCGTTTCCTCGTTTAAAAAAAAGAAAAGGTAACTTAAGCTGCATTAAACATATACATGCATTACATTTTAAATTAAATCAAGAATTTCAAAATATAGACTGTCAGGAACTTCGTTTAAATATTCTTAAAACACTCAAGTTGTCTTTTAAAGTACACGGATGTCTGTGAACCCTATTTTAGATTTAATGCAAGTCAAACATTTTTTTAAACGAGGATTTTTTTTTATTTCTTTAGAAATAAAGTAGTTATATGTTATTAAATAAAACTATATTACATCATTCTTCACTTCAATGATCTTTGCTTTTAAAGATATTTGAATGCACACGAATATTGATAGGATCTGAATCTTAATCAAACACATCACACATCATTTATAACGAGATATTTTCATATTAAAAATTTTCATTAGGAATAGATTATAAGCTGATATTTTAAAAAAATCGCCAACGTGATATTTACTACATGAATCATTAACGTCAAAAACAGTAGAAAAATACCGTTTACATTATTTGGAAAGATTTAAACGTTAAAAAAAATCACACGTAATTTAATTCGGTTAAGGAGCATTTGCGGATACAAAAGTGTAATCGTATAAAAGATGTACGACTTCCAATTACTACATATCGCCCGCTTTTGTAAAGCGAGTGGAACTATTAATACGGAAAAATGAATAAATGATAATTGTATTTCGTGCATTTATTTTTTTCCCCGTTATGGACGAAGAACACAGATTAACCATGACAGCACTACCTGCCCTGATGCAGACTCCACCAGATGTAAGGTATACATTTCATTCGCCATCTGATTCTAACACTGGTAGTCCTAGCTTGACCAACGACAAACCAATCTTTTATAATCAGGAAATATTATAGGCAATGATGTATACTTTTGGAATAGGGAAATGTGATCACTTGTTTTGCAAGCAAACGATATTCTTTTTACATGTGAAACTCCTGAAACGTTACTTTAAATTGTAGTCGATGTTAATGGTCTCTTCAGACAGAGAACCGGTCGGGATCATAAGCTTTCCCCGGGAAACAGAATTCTTCCTTTATGTTATGGTTACCCGTCTTGTCATCTGATTTCTGAAATAGTTGACCTTAGTGTTTCGACTATAAAAGAAAAAAAAAACACATACATGTATACCTATTTCAAGAAACATATAACCGTCTTATCTATTGGCCTTCTTTCACTGGATGATTGGCAGAACTTACAAGGTGGGTGGCCAAAACTTCCGTTTGCAGTAGGGCTATCGACGGAAAGTTTGTGGCCGATAACGGAACTAAAAGTCTTAGAATAGTATTTCCCAGGACACAGACATTGTCACTGCATTCACACTTAATTTGTAATATTGAACGAAGACAGGAAATGTTATGTTGAGTGAAGATTTCTTTGGCATCAGCAATAAATGTTGATAAGAAATATAGGACAAGAATTACCTTTCACGACCGAGCTGTTTTTGCTAGGCGACAAAATACATCCGAACAGATATCCAGTATTGACACCTGACATGAGACAAACCCCAGATTATGCAGAGGAAGTGTAGAAAATTAAATAGACATATTACACACTATAGAGAAGAGGTGGAACACGCATTCGGAGAATTAAAAAAAACCACACACAATGTTATGGGGACTTTGTGGCGATTCATATCTGTTGTGACCATAAGTTTCTGCATTTGTGTGTCGTCGAAAAGACTTATTTACATGATAAAAAAAATATCATTTCATTTTACTATATCTATATCAATTGGGTTTATTTTCTTATTTTGAGAGGACACCTTGTTTTTCGTCAACTGCAATCGTAAGTATAAGTGTAACCCTAGGTATAGACATAGTTTCCGCAAATGTCTAATATACCTTTAAGTGCATTTTAAATATGGATATTGGCTCATTCATGTATTTTATGTTTTTAAAAAAGTATGAAAGTCATGCTTGCCTTTTTCTATTTATTTTTTTTTCTTTATAATATGTATTCATGTAAACTGAATAATTTTGTCTTTTTCTAATTTTGTAGGTCCTTATCATGTATATACAATGCGTCTCAGATTGAGACGTCAAATTCTATTGAGCGGTTACATGCATGACATGTATACATATGCTTAATTTGTAACTTTCTTGACCAAATACATGATCTATTTTCAATGTAAATATCATATACCAAAAACATGGTATAAATGTGCTATGCATAGTTCAAATGCTCTATAAGTGTACATGTGTGTACAAATATGATCTGTGTTAAATACATGAAATTTATAAATATAGAAATAGATACAAAAATGTATTTCTTGAATTAAACTTGTTATAGGCCAAATACAATATCATTTTTTGATATTTTTCTAATATTTATTTATAATGTACATGTGTACCTGAAAAATTGTATCGCTATTTTTGTGACCAGATACATGTAGCTGAAGAATACATGTATGTCACTTGGACTTGTGTCTTACTCTATTGTACATGTGTTTATTTATTTTAAGTATATGCATGATTGCATGATAAATATATTAAGACACAATTTGCAAACTGCCTTATTATAAGTATATTACATGTACCTTTTTCT